GCATTGAAGCAACTGCCATGTGATTGGTTGATTAGATAATTGCATTAATGAGAAATTGAACAGGTGTTCCTAATAATCCTTTAGGTGAGTGTATATTACAGCTTTCCTGGACATGATAGGGGAGTGAACTAGTCAACTATCACCTCTTGGTCTTTGAAATGGTCAGGATGTTTGTCAAACAGATATCTGGCCAAGTTTGATGTGTTTCCTTCCTTTAAGAAACACTCTAAAACAGTGTTTACACAGCATTGCTACTGTGTTTAGGGAATCCCCTTTTCTGTCCACTTTATAGCCAAAATATTTCCATATCTCACTTTGCACTCCCCACTTAAATTCAGGTGTTGCTAAAGCTGCTGTCATCCCTTCTCTGATCCAAGTGAAAAAAGGCATCACTCTCTTTGCCATTGTTCCAGGTTGTTTCCCCCCTGTCATACACATCACAGCTGTCTGTGTTAAGCTTAAAGAGATAAGACTCCTTTTAGCCAGATCAAATATGCCATCAATAAAGCGAAATAGAGAAACAGGAACATCTTTATTAATGAAAGTTTATGCGAAAAATACTTCATACAGACCACAAGTTGTCAAACATATACATAAAAACTGATGTGTCAAAACACTTTCTGTACAGCCTGATGGATAACAGTAGGTTCTGCTGCCAGGAGTCAGGGTTGCTGCCATTCTAGGGTCAAGAAGCTATTAGTGTCTTCTGTCTTCCAATAATGATCAAAAACTTCTCATCGATTGTAGGGGTGCATTGAAGCTGAGGCAGACTTTATATTTGTCTTTATGTTGCTTGGCATTTTCCCTGTAGTAAAAATTAAAATTGTATCTTAATAACGGAGAATCTGCACAAGAGAACAAAGTAGCTAAACATAGTATCACTTTAAATGAGGAACAAGCTTTAGCTAAACCAGTGTAAGCAAAGAAGTAGAACTACGTTCTGTTAAATAAGTTACTCTGATATATTGGTGAATGGTGAAAATGATACATTTCTAAACCTGAAAACAAAAAACTCTACAATCTCTACATTGCTATAAATTTCTAACTCTGGGGGCTCTTATTTTTTCATTTCTGCCAGATCAGCAGCAAATTTCAGGTGCTTTAGATGTTCTAAGCTGCAGAGAAACTTATAAATAAACCAACACTTAAAGAAAGACGATCTTCATGTCTACAGCAGACAACTGAAGTAAGGTTCATCTGTCACATATGTGCTCAGTGGTCTGCTTTTCTAGATCTCTGATGCCAGATCATGAGATCATTGGCTAATGCAGAGTACTTTCATAAGGATTTAATTACCTAAATCCATACACATCAGCTTCCTTATCTGGTTCTGAAAAGAAGGCTTACCAGGCTGCCCAGGCTGCTGAGGTGGCACTGGTCCGCCAATAGCTGCCTGTTGGTTTGAGGAGCCACTTACAGCCACCTGCTGCAGGGAAGGTCCCCCCGCCATTATGGGCCCTTGACCCGGTTGTCCTGGTGCTACTGGTCCTGGAGGCCTGCACTTGGCAAGTCCCTTCCCAAATCCTACCGCTGCTACCAGTGCGGTCGTGTCCGCTGGGTTGAAGAATGGCTTATTCTGTCGTGCAGCTGAGGGCAGGGAGAAAGGTGAGCGCAAGCATGATGTAAACCACAGTTTTCTCACGATTGAGCTTCACTAAAGTACAGTTTAAAGAGAAATGTCAGTTTACCTGCACTTTCAGTCTCCCTGTCTTCTCGTGGATTGTTCAACTTTTCCAACAGGTTTGAGCAGATTTTATTCAAAGCCTGGATCTGTTTCTGTAATTAGAATGATGGGATAAACAGTACTGTTGACTGAAAAGGAAACAGGAAAAAAAAATTTTTGAAAATGATCCTTGTTACTTTCTATAGATATTAACACATAATCACTACACAATTAAATTAATCAGTGAATACCACTGCCATGAAGGGGTGTATTTGGTCTGCAACAATGTTTAGGTAGGTGGGATGTGTCAAAGTAACATCCACATGAATGCCAGGACCAAAGGCTTCCCAGAAGAACATTGCCCAGAGCATCACACTGTCTCCGCTAGCAATTTGTGCTACAGTAGCTCTCCTGTGGAATTGAACCAGATGGGCTACCCTTTTTTCCCTCATGAGTATCAATGAGCCTTGGGCTTCCATGACCCAGGCACTGATTCACCAGTTGCCCCTCCTTGGACCACTTTTGGAAAGAAGCTGACCCAGTCATCAATCCATCACAATTTAACCTTTGTCAAAGTTGCTCAGATCTTTACGCTTGCCCATTTTTCCCGCTTCCAACGCATGTGGCTCAGCGGATTAGAACTTTTGCCCATGATTGGAAAGACGTCAGTTCAAATCCCAGGGCCGGCAGACTAAAGCTTCTGATGGGCCCTTGAGCAAGGCTCTTAAGCAACCCCCCAGCTCCAGGGGCACTGCACACTGGCTGACCTTGTGCAGTGACCCCCAAGCTTGCTCTCACCTGCGTATGTATCTATGTGTTTGATGGAAAACAACATGGGAGAGGCGAAGACATGTGCTATTGTAAGATAATGCATGTTATTCACATCACCATTCAGTGGTTTGAATGCTATGGCTGATTGGTGTAGCATTCAATGGGCTGAACACATGCAAAACCACAGATTAATAATCAGCTAACTTTTAGTTTAAAAATCCAGGCATGAAACTCTTACCTGTGCAACATCGAGCCCAATGCGAGCAGCTTCAGCACTCAGATGCTTTTCCTGTTCTTCCACTTCTGGGTCAGGCTTGGTGCGCAGGTGATCTGGCACAATTTCATGACTGAACACTGGCACTCGTAACTCAGTTAGTTTCTGCAGAATAAAGTGTGTGTGTGTGGGTGTGTGGGGGGGGGTGTCAAGTGAACACAGGAGCGAGATACGGCATATAACCAAGGAAATAAGAATTAAGAGTATAGTTTAAATAGTCCACAATTCTGGAAATGCGCACAATCTGCCTCTAAATTAAAACCTCTACAGGCTGGTATTGCTAAAATGTGCCTATTATTAATTATACTGCAGTGCATCTAAACTTCTTGGTGTACATATTCCATACCATGAATGTTGCTTAAGGCTCATTTGTAATATAAAAAAATAAGAAATAATGTTTTTCTCAAACTTACAGCAAGTTCTTCATCTCTGTCTTGAGAGAGCAGCAGGGGAATTATGACTTGGTTGCGTAATGACGGAGTCTTTTCATTCTTCAGTAATTTGTTTATGGTGTTCAGCTGGCCAGAAAGGAGAGCAAAGTTGTCCAGCACAGAAGGCCTACAGATATATAATAAAGAAAAAAATTAAAGTAAAACCACTCAATCAGGGTTTCCATTCATGTCTGCTCTTTTCAAGACAGATGCTATGCCATTCCTCCATCCACCCCTTCAGTCATTCATCCATCCATCCATCCATCACCAGCTAGCCAGTGTAGTAGTCAGCTTACAGCTCACCCTACAAATGTGAGGCCCAGCGCTACTCACTGGACCACCATTTCAATGGGATGCTACACTTGATGAGTTACAATAAATATGAATTCATATGATAAGCTGTGGTATTTGAGCCAATTAATAGGACGCAAAATATAATTTTTATACATAGGCTTTAACTTAAATTACAAACATTTAAAAAAATATATTGCTTTACTGCAGCAAAAAGGAAGCAGCGTGTCAATTGTTACAGTATACGTTATAGCTTGTATATATTTTGTTAAAATTAACTGGTTATACATTAATTTTGGAAACCACACCACACTCAGTTTTTATATTCAGCAGTGTATCTACACCGATCGAAAGTTTTAACCACAACGATATTCCCAGAAGTTGGTTTAAAAATGTATAGTTATTGTACCAAGTCAATCTGTCATATTCATTCTCCAGTTTGAATATAAAATTATGCAAAGAATTCTTCAGCTGCGCCACGCGAGATATGAGAGAGTCTATGGATGCCTCCAGCTGTTTTTCTTCGCGTTGCTGCCAAAAAGAGGGGAAAGTAGCGCGGTTAATCGCCACATATCAGAAAACCAAGAATAATTACGAATGCAAGGGTTTAACACACTCGGCAATGTTCACCCACCTGCATTGTACGTAATTTAACGCTGCGACGATTTTATACGATCACTTCGACGTATATTTTGTAGTATTCTACATACATTTAAAGACTGCGAACCGCCATACGCCCAGAGAATATCCCCGGAAACGACATCAGGCAAACAGCTCTCCTTTTCGATGATTATGAAAGGGTTCCCCTTTATGTCACAAATTAAAAAGGGAAAATTATGGAAAATGGGCGTACAAACAAAAAGGGTTAGTATTCAACATCCGCTACCACATGCACAAACTTTCAAAGATATTCCAACCGATTTCACGATATTAAAATGTATGAAAATGTAAGTCCAACTTCCGGCATTCGCGCAGGAAATGACGACGCCGGTTCACGCTGACACGTGCAGTACACAACAATATGACGCTGCGCTGCGTTCCGTTCCGAAGTAATCACCTGCAAAGTGTGGCCCAGAATTTACACTGATGATAATAAAAAATAATTTATATTATATGTCCATCCTTAGATTTGGTTTAAGGATTGTGATGAGTCTCTGTACCCTATCCCAGTAAGCACAGAGCAGGCGATAGGTAACACCTTGATGGGATGCTAGTCCCTTCTGACTGTAATATTTGTAATATATAAACTGTAGTATTTATAAATTATATTAATTTTACAATATATTCAGTAAGAAGCTTTTTCTCTCTGTCAACTAATATAAGAATTGAAGATAATACACAGTTACCACTATTAATATCTCAACATTTAATTTATAGCCAAGTAAAAACTTGAGGGACTTTTTAGTTATTTTCCAATAATTAGATCATCTACTGAATTTATTTTATTATATTTTATACATTTTATTATAATGGAAGTGTGTTCACTGTTGTGATAATATAGTCCAGTCACCTTGTCGCTTTTAACAAAAAACATACTGCCTAAGGGCTGGTGAGGCTTGTTGTCACATTTTGTGTTAAAATAAAAATACATGACTGTGAGATTGTGTGTTATATCGGTGACATTGTGACTCTTTTTGTATACATTAAGAAGAGAACTCAGTACAAACTCTCTGGGGTAGAAGATAGAATTCAAAGCTGGATGAACAACTTTTTAGGGGTTTTATCAAGGTTCAGTGAATACACAAGCCATCTTCCAATCACTGATCCATTTCAGGGACTTGAAGCAAAATTATGCTGACTAGCATTAAAACATTGTTTGGATTGTCAGAGTATAATTTCTATATAATAAGGTTCTGTCACATGTTGCAATAAGGCTGAGGCACATGGCTTGAAACTACAAACTATTGAGGTGTTAGTATAGTGGGAATTAATTAAATTGGAAACTCAAAGTAGCCCAACAGCTACCTGCAATGTTTGCAATGCCATCCTTTTCAGAGGTAGCAAGAGCGCCATATAATAAAACAAATCCATTAAAGCTGAGAACAAAATGAAACACATAATGTAGTACAAAAGAAAAAGCACCCTTATTAAAAGCCATATTTAATTAATGTGTTTGTGTAGAGTTTATATAGCTCTCAGAATTTTAGGAAGAGCTTGGTGTTTCAATTTCAATGTGCTTTTAGTGGACACATGCTTTTATAAATGTCAAATAATTTAGCATGCTCTTGAATCACTTTCCCATGCAGGATTTCAACAACCATTAAAATGTTTTCTGTATTTTTGGCAGTGTAATCTGGGGTATAACATGCTACACCAAACCAGAGCCTGTCCATAAAATGTATAGGTTAGATATATATTGTAGCACCTATGAGATGGTTCCGCATAGCGGAGCCTATTAGCATTTCCTGACATGCTTGAAAAAAATAGCCCCTGTGTTGTGTGTTATTGTAAAAAAAGCATACTTGTGGTGTTTCTGATTGTCATGCGTGCTCTTGCCTGTGTTCTCTGTTAATCCTGTCCAATGCTCTTGCGTCTATACATTATGTGAACTCAGGGGCATTGCTAAAGATTTTGGACCCCATGAAAGTATATCATATTGCCCCCCCCCCAGTCCAGACAAATCCAGTTATTTAAAAAAAAATTAGGGCGCCTGGCCGAGGCCCTTGGAATCGTCCTAGCTTCCCCTCCCCCCTCTTACAGCACCCCTGTGTAAACTACCCACCACGCATCAGACCTCACCTGTAATTGAAAGATTGCAGGTTCGAATCCCCCACCAGCAAGTCACCACTGAGGTACCCTGAGCAAGGTACCGTCCCCAAGCACTGCTCCCCGGGCGCTGAATTAGCTGCCCCCTGCTATGTCACGAAAGTCACATATGGGTCAAATGCAGAGGACACATTTCGTTGTTGCGCAGTGTGTGTTGTGGTGTATTGACAATGACCACTGATCACTAAATTCTAATTCTAATTCTGTTTCCCTGGTAAGTGTGTTGGAATTATGTGTATTGTTTTGTTTAGTTCTTTTAAGGATTATAATAAAATTCTGTTGCCACCGTGACGTTTGGACCTGGCAAGCGCTACAATATTTTGTATAAATAAGCTGTAAGGTTCGAGCAAATGAAAATGCAGAAGAAACAGTGGTCGCAATCAAAAATACAAATGGTTAAAAACTAAGTGAATTGCCTGCTCTAAAATGGAACTACTTGCACTGTCTCGTACACTTCGCAACAATTCAGAGATCTCAACGTCAAACAAGTAACAGTCAATCGACCAGTACCAGCGTCAAGGAAATGTGACGCAATGACGTGACATGCGCAGTCTGGCGTTTCCTTTCTAAGTACTGGCGGGGTGTAGGATTTCTCCGGGATAAGGAGATCAAAAAGGCTGCAAAATGGTTAGTAAATCGCCACAATACGAACTGATATTAACAAACAAGGTATTGGCTCAGCGTTCAATGGTGTCACGTCGTCTGTAATAATCTTTAATTCGTTCGATTATGAAAGATTGTCACTGATGTATTGGGCCCACTTGTGTATTAGCGTGGCCTAATAAGCAACTCGCAGGACTTCTTTCCAAAATTTCTTAAATACCCAGTTGTGCCCAGTAAACCCGCAGTTATTTAGTTGTAGTCGTGTGATTTACCTGCCGGTGTCTGACTTGAATTAATTGTTTATGAAAATGCTGCTGCACCAGGCAAACCAACGGATTATTTTAAATAACATGAACAAACATATCTTTCAAGCATTCATTTTTATGCACGTGCCCACAACAGCATTTAGTGCAATTCTGACATTGTGATATAATGGAAAGCACTCAATGGCAGTATTTTCATCCCCTAGGGCTTCGTTAAGGTCGTGAAGAATAAATCCTACTTCAAGAGGTTCCAGGTGAAATTCAGGAGGAGGCGAGGTACATTTTGCTTGTGAATTGAATTTGTTCCAAATAGGGTTGCAAAATTCTAGGAATATTCTTGTTAATTCCCATACTTTCCCGTTAATTCCCATGGAAAGTTTCTAATGTGGAACATTTCCAAAATTCCCCAGCTTAACTTCCCATGGAACGGAAAGTTTCAGGAAAATTTCCAGAAATTTTCCAGCCCTTTGCAACCCTAGTTCCAAAATTACTGTAAGCATTGCATTCGCCTGTCCTTCTGGCCGGCATAACGATGTTGTTCTGCATTGATATTATTTTTAAGAGGGGAAGACAGACTACTTTGCACGTAAGCGCCTTGTAATCCAGGACAAGAACAAGTACAACACACCCAAGTACAGGATGATTGTCAGGTTCTCCAACAGGAACATAGTTTGCCAGGTGAGTTCTGAATTGTTTGGTGTTTTCACCCTTCATGGCTTTGTTTTTTTAAAGAATGTAATACACAGTACGCACTCCATTCTGAAATGAGCTTTTAATAATACCAGTTACCACATTCTCTGTAGCTGGGACAGAGAGAGCTGCCTGAGCTTAGACAAACACTGATAATTTTTTGGTCTGTCTGGACTTTGTTGTAGTTCTTTGTTGGCTGCATTTCAGGTCGCCTACGCCAGGATCGAAGGGGATGTGATCGTCTGTGCAGCCTATTCCCACGAGCTGCCAAAGTATGGCATCTCAGTGGGCCTCACAAACTACGCTGCAGCCTATTGCACTGGTCTGCTGTTGGCTCGTAGGGTAAGACTGAACTCTATTCTGCGCTCTTATCGTAGGCACGTTATTCAGGGTTTGTTCACCTTCAACTCAGACGTGGAGAAGATGTGCGTGTGCAGCGTATTGCACGATTATCATGATATGCGGCACGTGAAGTCGAGGATAATTCCATGAAATTAAACATTACCTGGTTGTTATAAAGGTGCTACATCACTGAAAGATACATACATTGATACATATTTCACCTGTTTAATATAATTATTAGAATTTATTCACTGACCTGAGATGTCGATGCCTGTTGCCCTCTGTAGCTTTTGAACAAGTTTGGCCTGGACAAAGTTTATGAAGGTCAGGTAGAGGTGACTGGGGACGAATTCAACGTGGAGAGCATCGATGGACAGCCGGGTGCCTTCAGTTGTTACCTGGATGCAGGACTTGCCAGAACTACAACCGGAAACAAAGTATTTGGGGCCTTAAAGGGAGCAGTGGATGGAGGATTGTCCATACCTCACAGGTAATAACAAGATTAGTGTGTGATTCATTACTACTCAGAAATACTTGTTTATTACTGAGCCTGATTGGTTGGTTGATTATCAGTTAATGTACAAATTATTGGATTAATTCAAAGGAAAGCTACGGAATCCACAGCTGCCATACTTAGTTTAATATGAATTAATCAGTGCATTTGATTAAGGAGTATAGAGAATGAAAACTGATCTGTCTGTGAACTCTGATAGTCTGTGAGCACTTTTTGTGTTTACATCACCATGTTTTGTGTGAAGAGACTTTGGCTGGGCTTTTCTGCTGAAGCATCCTGGGCTTGGTTCCATGCTGCGGTGTATTGAAGTGTGTGCAGCACTGTGATGTTTATCGAATGACAGTGATTTTAGGTCATTTACAAATGAACGAATTAATGACATGATGATGCTTTGTTTGCCATTCCTACAACTACGAGTACAGGTATTTTGGAATCACACACCTCGCAGTACAGATATATTTGATTAGTACACTTCACAGTGTTCTATCAGTGGAGACTTCTGCAGTGGATCCCGGGGTCCAAATGAAAAGTTATTTATCTTTGCAGTTTATTGCCGTTAATGTTTATCTGTATAGGTGCCTAATTTTTGTAAGGGTTAATGCATTACAAGCTATTTCTAAATGCACTGCTGTGAAGGTGAGTAACTTCCTGATGTGGATCCAAACGTGTAGTGATTGTGGTGTAAGTGGGTTAATGCACTTGAAAAAATGCATCATAGGTTTTTTTTAACAAATGGCTCCGGAGGCAAAGAAATTCAGTTGGGTTATAATACGTAAAACCTGAATTATTTAGTATTTACCAATTATTAAACCTGGACTTGCATACCATCTCATTCAATTATTTAAACAAAACTGTGAAGTATGACTGGACTACAGGTGCATTACATCAGAAAATCATTTTGATATTTAATCCCTGACCACAGGTTGTGGTCCTCAGCCTGAAGCACTTTTGATGTTTTTGTCCGTTATTTGTAGTAATTTCTTTGCTTTAATAGTTTTCGTTAAGTAACGGAAATTAGAATTAAAGACTAAAGTCGCACATTGATTTACTACTGTGATTCACAATTAATGTGCGGTTACAGATAATTAATCAAAACCCTTTAGATTTGAGAATTTATTATTTATTAAGATCAGGGAACAGGTTACTTTTAAGTTATCCAAATTTGATAAATTTGGCTGATACTTGTTCATTACCTTAACATCTTTTGTCATTGTATTTGGCCTTGTGCTGCCTGAGATGGGCTCTAGTGTCATCTGCAACCCTGACCAGGATAAGTGATAGATGGATGGATGGATGGATGGATGTGGCACTGTTTGCTTAATATGCAAAATGAACTTAATGACATGTATGCAGTTCACTGTTTCATTTTCCAATCAAGGTATTGTTCAGTGTGGAAGCCTGTTCAATGAAATACTTCAGTCTGACATGCTGTACTGGTGTCCCCTTAATTCTGCAGCACCAAGCGCTTTCCTGGTTATGACTCTGAAAGTAAGGAATTCAACGCAGAAGTTCACCGCAAGCATATTATGGGTGTAAATGTGTCAGAGTACATGACGTATCTTATGGAGGAGGACGAAGACGCCTACAAGAAGCAGTTTTCCCGCTTCATCAAGAACGGTGTCACCGCTGACTCTGTAAGGGCACATTGGTACAATTAAATGTGTAAAACTGCTAAGCTCTGTGGTTAGCCTGGACCTGTAAATTGTAGTTAATACTGACCACATTACCTGCCATGCATCTGTTACTGCTGTTTTTGCAAATTTAACAGTTGTTCATATTTATGAATCCAGTTTATAAGCATGCAAGTATCACATGTATGATTTTGAAGCGTGGTCACAGTTAAACCTTGATGTTTTTCTTTGAGGTGGAGGAAATGTACAAAAAGGCCCACACTGCTATCCGTGAAAATCCCGTCCATGAAAAGAAACCTAGAAAAGAAGTTAAAAAGAAGAGGTGTGTTTTTCACAAATATGCTTTGCTCTTCATACCGCAACCTTTACAGATGTCTCTGTGTTTCAAGCTAGTAATTGGAAATTTGTGTTAGTATGTATGCATGTAATAAGACAAACTGTTGAGCTACAGTTCAGGACTATTTGCAAAAGCTTTATCCAAAAAAGTTCAATTTAAGATCTTTTAGTATGCCAAATTTTTCGTTAGTCCTTCAAAATTTATTTAGATATAATGGTTTGTATGTTTTCTGATTTTTTTTCTGTATAATTTGAAACCGTGGAGTAATTAAAAAAATCATTTAGCACAATCTCTGGTGTATCCAGTGCTGCATTAGAAATATCAATAGTTAGAGTGCAGGGTTATGGGTCAGAAGTCTGTAACATTACATTACATTTTGTAATATGTTGTGCTCAGTGAACTGTTCCAAATGAAGTTGTTACAAGATGAGGGGTAGTGTTCTCTATCAAAAAGTTTTGAATGGGTGGAAAATATGATTATGCTTTTTTCCCCTCCAAATAGTTACCCAGTACCCAAAGGACCAATATCCTGCGGCAATTAAAAGGTAAATCATGTAGTGGCAGTACATTAATCTGCTGTGTTTTTGTTACAGGTGGAATCGAGCCAAGCTCTCTCTGGCACAGAGGAAAGATCGTGTTGCCCAGAAGAAGGCCAGTTTCCTCAGAGCCAGGGAACAGGAGGCTTCCGAGAGTTAGCATGGAAAATCTGTCCATGGCCTGGCTACAGTGTTTTAATAAATATAAAAAAAATACATGTGGTAATGTGACTTTATTACTTGTAGAAACCAAGTCTTCAAGAAATATATACAGGTTGTGTGTCATGACCTAAGAAAATGATGGTTAAAAGGGTGAATGTAGTTCCTGGAAGATTCATATATAGCTACATACATCGAAACAAGTTAACGATTTGGAAATTAGTTCTTAAAGCTAAATGGACAAAACACAGGTATGTTACTGTCTGAAACAGTCAGCTAAATATAAATACATGTGGATGAAGAAACTGAAAGGTTTAATGACCAGATTGAGCCCACAATATACAGGATGTGCACTCATTACATTCCCAGTTGTACCCTGGAATGTCAAAATTAGTCTAAGGGATTACTTCAATCAAGTTTTTCCTTAAATTTCGTACTGAATGGTGCAAACAGGAATTACTTTCATTATAAAAACCAATTTTATCATAACCTGTAGAGAAGTGCCTTTGTGTCTCTGTGTGTATTATGTTTATATTACATTGTGGGGACCATTTTTCAGGTCCCCACCAAGATCTGTGATTGCAATCAAAAAAGTAAAAATGCTAAAAGTCTCATGTTTGGTTATTTATGGTTAAGGTCATCATGTTGTGATTTGAGATTCCCCCATAGAAAAGAATGGGAAGTCCCCACAAAGATATAATTACAAATCTGTGGGGAGATGATTAAGAGAATATACATGAATCATTACTGTTACAACGTTTTTGAGCAGCTAGTACCATCTAATGCTTTCCAGTCTCGGACTTACAGTTGCTGTTCATCTTTGCTTAAATTTAGATTGGACGTTTTCTTTTAAATATTTACTACAAAATTGTATAATACTATAATTTTGTAACCCCAAATATATTGTACAAATATATTGTAACACACGCGGGCACCAATCTCCAATAGTTATTTTTCAATACAAAGTAAGTGACAATATCATATATTTTAAGACAGGACGTCATAGCAGATCAGGGTATTTTACAGTGGTCCAAACTTTCACGCCGTTGTGCAAGTCTTTCGTCAAAAAAGTGACATAGGTCCAGACCTGCAGCACAATCAACATAACATTCAAACTAAAATTCAAGTTACAAAAAATTTAGATCCCGAACAAGTATGTACCAACTTATTCCAGATTGGAACAGTGGAAACCTCTAGATCTTAGGACTCAGAAAGAGCTGGACTGAAAAGTAATGTAAAGGTGGATGAGCAGATGGAAGACGAAAATTTCTGAATAATACTCTTATTTTGAAACGGGGAAACCGGAAGTTTCTTGATGTTTCCGACGGCAGTTGCGGGAGCGCAAACGCGGTCTATTTAAGAAATGTAACCAGTTATGATCTAACAGCGGTGATTTCAGTGTTTTTTTTACTTTTAATGTTAGAGAAAAATGATATGTCGGGAGCAAACCTACATCTTAGCAAAAAACGTTTGCATCTTTGCATTTATTGAAGTCAATCATCACAGGAGAGAATGGTAAGAATGCTTAACATTTTAACCGTCCGTAGCCGGTAAATAGTTTTCTTAATATCAAAAGTAATCTATTAAGGTCGAGTATGTTTTGCGTCCATGCTCCTTGTCTTTACAGAGGAGAAGTTTTGCACCAAGCCAAGTAGTAAAACGAAAAAGTGACGATTCGGATGCGGACTGGCACCCGGAAGAAGTAAGTATTGAGAACGGTGTACTTTGCATGCATCTTGCTAAAACGAAGCAGAATGTGGGTATAAAAAGATTGGAGATCACAGTAGCTTCAATATCATGGCCAAATTCGTAACGCACTATAATTTTTCCGTTGCCAACTTTTTAATTTCTTAAAGAAAGGATATTTACAGACAAAACACAAATCGATATTCTACGGCCTTAATGAAATATAACTACGGATAAACAAAATAAAACGGCTGATCTCTATAAATGGATAAAAAAAGGCTCATAACACGCTGTTTTATCAAAATGGAAAAGTCATTTAAACAAATTTTTGTAATAAGATTAGACGGGCGTACATTATTGATAGATGTGATATTTCTTTGCGGGCCATATGAAATCTAGGAAACTAGTGCAATTAAAAAGTATCTAAGGTTTAAAATGATACGAGCCTTAGTAAACTCCTGTCTTAACAGGAGTGTTAGAATGGCAGAACTGAGTGGTATACAGGGGTTTAACTGGGCAACCGTACTACCACAGGTGACCATTAGAGGGCTGTCGTGTATGGTTTTATATGTACCGCTCTTTGGGTTCAAGACAAAGCACAAGATTTTGCATTACAAATCTGGAGTACTTAAGGCGGATGTCGTGTTAATAACAAAGATGGCAACAACTGATCATCTGAATTGTTCTCATCCCAAAAAGAGATTTTTGAGTGTTGAAATATGGGACCTGTAGCTTTTGGGATAGGCTCCCAATTCCCTCAATCTTGAATAGGACAAGTAGATACCGAAGACGGGTGGATGGAGTGTTAAATCAAGAGAAACGCAGTAGCACAAGAATTCTGTTGTTTTCTCTGAATACATTAGAGTCATTGCACAGAGTAGAAGTATTCAGATAAAATACACAAGACAGAATACACATGGCAATAAAACTATTACTAATATAGGGTATTTAATCAAAACATTCACCTCAGTCTGCATATTCTTTAGTTTCCTCCTGCAGTCCAAAGGCATGCAAGTAGGGTATCTGACATCTCTAAATTGTCCATTGTGTCTGAGTCTTGAGAATGATTGGCATCCCACCTCATCTAGTACAGGCTACAGACCCCCCCGCCTGTTTGGAAAATCTATTGGAAAATGGATGGACGGTATATATTGACACTGCCTGGTAAAACCATATGCTTCACAGGGTGTGTTTGCTTTTCTTCTCCGTAGTAACATGGCATTGTATTCCCCCAGTTTAAAAAAAAAAAAAAAAAAACTTTCTTAAAGTTTAATTTAACTAGTTCGAAAGCCATATGATTTGAGACATGTATGAAGATAATTGTTATTGTCATACTAAACATCTTGCCACTGTCATGGTATAAAACCATAATTGTAAAATTGTGCCATTATATTTGTGCAGGTTTTAGGCTGTCCATCCATACATTTCCTGTACCTGCTAGTCTTATGTGGGGTCACTGGGTTCCAGAACCTATCCTGTCAATTATGGGCGCAACCCAGTACGGGGCGCCAACCCATCACTAGGCACACACACCATTCATACACCATTCCCACCTATGGACAATTGTGGTGGCTCCAATTCACCTCAGCATGTTTTTGGACTGTGGAGGGAAATGGGAAGAATCCAGAGAGAACCTCACGTCAACAGAACCAGGGAACTATGACCAGTGCCATTTGTCACATAACAAACAGAAAGGGCTCTGATTGGTGACAACACCTCTGTTGACTGACGTTGGCAGATGTCGTCCTCATGTCATTAAAGAAAGTGAATGTTTTTTGTGCGTAAAGCTAATTTGTTCCATGGTTAAATCAATAGCTCTCAAACTATAAACTCCCTCTAGTGGTGTTGGGTGGTATTTCTGTATTTAAATGTTGATCAAAATGGTTGCTCGTGGAGAGTCTAATATTTTCTGTGGTGGTATGAGGTGTAAAACATTTGAGAACCACTTGGCTAAATCTTAATTGAAAGGAAATATGAGGGAAGGACCATGAATTCCATCCCGGGTTTGCTTGTGTCCTGTCCTCGCACTGATAGGCTCCAGAAGGAGTTACGGAGTTAAAGTAGCATATAATGCATGGATGAATGTAGGCTGTAGAGGACTGTAATCCAGGGCAAAACCTCTTGGCGCGCAATATGATAAATTGTCAGTTTTAGTTTGGCTTAACTATTTTAATGTACATTATTTTTTTTAAAAAATCAGGGTTTTATCCCATATATTTTTTTATAGATATGTGAAATTACTGCATTTCTAGGACTGAGGTATTGGTGATGTTGAACTTCGATTGTTACAGACCCCAAAGCGAAGTAAAGATGAGAGGGTATTTGGAGGAAGCTGCCTCTCCCCTATTCGAAACCCCTTAACACAGCTGACAAACACACCGGCATCTCCTAACACTGTGAGTGACACTTACGCAGTGTCTGTTGTTTTGTCTCTTGTCATATATACTCTTGTCTTGTGAGTTCTGCTAACAAAGTGTTCAAATATACTCTGTTTCTAGGAAGCTCAAGTTTGCAGTATCCTTTCAAAGCCTTTTAAAGTCCCCATTCCTAACTACACAGGTAAGACACAGATGCAAGGATTTCTCTTATTGGTACTGCGGTATATCACTGCTGTGCTGCATGAAGCTTCAGGCTGAAATAAAATAATCACACTTAAAAATGTTCAAAAAATTATCATACACCCTCTGTCCAGACACATACGGTAATACCAGTGTTTTGGTCACTGTCGGACTCCATTCTGCATTCATAAAGATTTTATCAGGATTTTTTTCCCATATCAGTCAGTGGTTATTGATAATTATCACCATATAATTAATTCAAGACACTAGACAACAGCAGCAGAATGTTTTTTTTTCTTTGTTTTTTTCCCCTGTTTTTTTCCTCTTGAGGCCTTGCTGCTTGTTCTAGGGACTAGGTTTGACATTGATGGTCACCATCCTGTAGTGATAAGTAAAATGCTGTGTCCTGTTTTTAACAAATTAAGGGTGTAATTTGTCCCATATTTCTTCAGATTGGAAGTGGAAACCCAAATTGCTAGTGTTTGTGACTGTTAGCACTTGCATTCTGTATGTTCTACTGGATACCAGTGCTTCGTGTGGTGAAAAACGTTCACAGTATTTCCTATTAATGTTGACACAAGTTTTCAGCAGAGTTTACAGAACACATCACAAGTCTGTTGCATGTTGGACTTTAATCTGCAAACAGTACTGCCACCTGTTTACCTTGTTTATCCACAATATTTCCTTTTTAAAAGATGTTGTGGCTCGGAGATGTCGCTTTCCTCATTGACGTTTGAAGTTTCCTCTGAGGGATTGCTTATTTCTTCCATGATATTACCGAAACAGTAGCATTTGAATTTTAGATCAGTCCTCATTGTCAACACACCACAGCACACAGTGCGCAACAACGAAATGTGTCCTCTGCGTTTAACCCATATGTGACTTTTGTGACATAGCAGGGGCAGCTAATTCAGCACCCGGGGAGCAGTGCTTGGGGACGGTACCTTGCTCAGGGTACCTCAGTGGTGCCTTTGCTGGTCGGGGATTCGAACCTGCAATCTTTCAATTACAAGTGCGCTTCCTTAACCATCAAGCCACCATTGCTGTGCTTTGCTAACTCGATAAACCTTGGTGTGCATTTGTTTGATATAGGTTTTCAGTACTTAAGACTATCATGATATGGTGGAATTGCATTTGTTTCAGTGATGTGATAGACTGATGTGTCTTGTTAAGATGGCTGTCTTGCTGGAAGTTAGTGCTGACTAGTGCACAAATGGTAGTGCATACACATATACATATATAGCAGCCGTAAAGTAAACATCCCAGCCATGTCAGGAATTTAGAATTTGTTTGTCAATAATCTGTTAGAATTGCTCAGTCTGAGTTAGCTTGAGTTTGAGTGAGATTAGGACTAAATGATGTGTCTTGCTCTAAGACAGGGGTGGCCAGTCTTACCCGCAAAGGGCCGGTGTGTATGCATGTTTTTGGGATAACCTGTAGGTCAGCTGTTCAAACCCAGGTGTGAGGACTCTTCAGCCAATCAGTCCTCTAATTAGTAATCTAATTAGGGAGTTGCAGCGAAAACCCGTATACACACCGGCCCTTTGCGGGTAAGACTGGCCCCAAGATATGGGGACTAAAAATCCTCTTTGCCATTTAAGGTCACTTGTACGTTGTCTTGATCCAGCTGGGAATCTGGTGACAATGTGACTTCTCTTTCCTGAGTAGTTAATGCGGTACATATGAGAGTATAATATCACACAATGGACATGGTGTATCATGGAGTCACCATTTGAATTTTTCGTTGGACCACCATTAGCTTTGATTCTGGCGCACATTTGTCATGGCATTGTTTCCACAAGCTTATGCAACATCTCACCCTTTATTTTCATTCAGATTTGCATAAATTTCTCATCAAGATCCTGTATTGACAAGTGAGTTGAACCACTCCATAAAGCCTCCTTCAGCACATCCCAAAGACTTTCAGTGAGGTTAAGGTCACAGCTCTGTAGTGATCAAGTCATGCGTGAAAATGATTCCTCATGCTCCCTGAACCAATCTTTGATAATTCAAACCCAATGAATCTTGGCATTCTTGTCCTGGAATATGCCCATGCCAACAGGGAAGAAAAAAATCCATTGATGATAGATGGAGGTGTAACCTGGCCAATCAGTAGATTCAGGTACTCAGCTGACTTTACTTTATTACTGCATAATGTTGCTGAGCTGTAATAGTGATCCAGTCATTGGCTCTTAAGTATTTGCTGATATAAATTCAAATGGCGACTTTTTTTCTTTTGGCCGGGCAGTGTGTAAGTGCAATGGAAACCTCTTAGTGGGGGAGACACTGGAGTAAGCCTGGCTGGGCTCTGCCTCCTTTCTTTGAATTTTTTCCTTTGTTTTGTTACTTTTCTCTTGAACCTCTCAGCAAATGATCTTATAAACTACTTGTGAGTGAACTCAAACCATATGACATCTTTCTCATCCATTCCATAGTATGCTTTTGGATAGTTTTGTCATCACACTGTATGTGAATTCTGATACATTTGTAAATTAATTTAGAAAGTCAGAACTTTCTTAGTGTATAAAAGGAATGGATAACTCAGTCACACAAAAACCCTTGTAAGCATGCGATCTGAAACAGGTCAGTATGTTTTTATTTGTGGTTATTTTTATTGCCATTGCCTTCTACTGACATGAAATTTGTCTTGTGACGTGATCTGCACAGGTCCTCTGGGGGTGCGTTCACTAGGCGTGAAGCGAGCCACCCTCCGAAAGCCGCTTCACAGCCCATTTGAAGAGGACGCTCTGGTGCTCTACGAGCCTCCTGCCTTGAGTGCACATGACCAGCTGAATGCTGAAAAGTGAGTGGGTGGATTTTCAGAATTTTCTATTGATCAGTAGGTAAACCTATTGTAAGCTGTTTTTGATGCTGGATAATTAGTTACGATTTTTCTGTTGCAGAGAGAAGCTTCCTGTCCATGTTGTTGTAGATCCTGTGTTGGGAAAAGTCCTAAGGCCACATCAGAGAGAAGTAAGACCAGTTAAAGTGCATGTCAGTCCACTTGTTGTTCTTACATGTCACTTTTTAATGCAAGATATTTCTTTCCCTTGATGCTCAGGGGGTGAAATTCCTCTGGGACTGTGTGACGGGAAGGTGCATTCCCAATTCATACGGCAGCATCATGGCGGATGAAATGGGCCTCGGAAAGACTCTGCAGTGTATCACTTTGATGTGGACTCTTCTGCGTCAGAGCCCTGATGGCAAGCCTGAGATCAACAAAGCGATCGTGGTCTCACCCTCCAGCCTTGTGCGCGGCTGGTACAACGAGGTGGGCAAGTGGCTTGGCTCTAGGATCCAGCCGCTTGCAATCGATGGGGGTTCTAAGGAGGAGGTGGACAGAAAACTCGGTGGGTGATGATTAGGCCAGCAGCAATATTTAAGCAGATTACATTTATTTGCCAGCACTGTTCCTGGGCAGTATGACTGACTAAAACTTGTATCATGATATTTTTTGCAGCATTTATATATTTTTACATCAGTAAAATACATTTACCAATGTTTTTGAAAAGGTTTGTTTAATTATTGTCACAAAGTTTGCGTTTACCTTGATAGTATAACCAACATGTTTTATTAGATAAGAGAATAAAAAAGGCTGCCCCTTTTTGACAGAAATGTAGTTTTAAATCTGGATGGGAAGACATGGTACACTTGTCTTCACGATGACTTGAAGCAGCTGCACAAATTTTGGTAGATGTTTGGCTATAGATGATGTAACAAAGTTCAGAAAACTGAAAATGCCTTTGAGTCCAGAATCATTCATTGCAATTAAGTTGACTCTGCAATAGCTTTATGTAGCACCACCCAAGCCTGGCTTAAAATGAGCTTGCAAGTTTCCATGAAATGTCAATGTTGCTTACAAAACCACCTGTCAAGTGGATCTCCTAAATTCTGCTTATATCTGAATTTCTACTTAGGTATATTACAGATTGTTTATTGTATTTTTTCTATTTTTAGAGAACTTCATGTCCCAGCGTGGTTTCAGGGTACCATCTCCCATCTTGATCATCTCCTATGAGACTTTCCGTATCCATGCCAGCATCCTGCACAAGGGTGAAGTAGGCCTCGTCATTTGTGATGAGGTATTGCTATTTTGTATAATATATTAAAATAAATGTTTTCGTCACATTAATGTTCTCCTGTAGGTAGAAGTGTAAATTGCTGGCCTCCAGGCAAGTGGATTTGAATATGATTCCTTAGCATCGCTACCATAGCTAGCAAAAAAAAACAAAACATTTTGTACCACAAATGAGGGGTGTTTCCCAAAAGCATTGTACCCCAAAGAATATCTTAAGCATTATAGCATTCTGCACTAGCATTGTAGCACAAAGGTATCATGTATCATTTCCTTTATAAATATTATTGAGCCGTCCCCTTTCATTCTACCTTTTGGAAATTGTGCGTCGGTGCTGCTACTTTGCAAGTCTACCTGCAGCATGTGAAGTAGGAGTATCTTTATGGAGGATTTCGCCCCCAAAAATCAACTATGACCAATTCTGACAGTACAGATCTATGCAGTTGAATTGCCACCTTAATTATCAGTTCATCACAATGCATCAATTCATCTTTACACCCCTACCTCTAGGTCCAGATATGGATTGTGCATTTAAATACTGTTGATTCATAACTTTTTGTTGCCCAGGGTCACAGACTGAAGAATGCTGACAACCAGACATATCAAGCTCTGAATTCCACAAAGGCTAAACGCAAAGTTCTCATCTCAGGAACACCCATTCAGAATGACCTGCTTGAATACTTTAGCTTGGTCCACTTCGTCAACACTGGTATCTTGGGTGAGCTGCCTTTTAAGCACAAAACACTAATGTGAAAGCTATTGACTGTTGACCATTTATGCTACTGTGGGAACACATGGTGGCGGTAATGATTTGTGCTTCCATTCCCAAGCTCTTATTGGGTGTTTTTGTTTTAATGGCTGTTGTTTGTGTTTAGGAACGGCTCAAGAGTTTAAGAAGCACTTTGAGGTGCCCATTCTTAAGGGACGGGACGCTGATGCTAGTGATAAAGACCGGCAGCGCGGGGAGGAGAAACTCCGGGACCTAATTAGCATTGTTAACAGGTAAGGAACCTACCAGACCGAAGCCTTGCCAGAAACTTTAGCTTTGCTCATTTAGAGATGCGAGCCTTTTGTTTTTTTTTTTTTTTTTTTTTCAGGTGTTTAATTAGAAGGACGTCAGATATTCTTACCAAATATCTTCCTGTGAAGATTGAGCAGGTTGTCTGCTGCAGGTAATGACCTGACTCTACAAAATCTCAGCATGTGAAAAGACCTTACTGTACTTGATAGATGTCCAACCTATATTAGAACATATAATGAAAATTATTCCGTCATTGTTATTTAGGAATTATTCTAGCAATATAAATTGCAACTGTAGAAGTGGTGATGGATGGATGGATAACATTTTCAATATATGTTGCATCTTCATTTTCCTCAGGTTAACCCCCCTTCAGACAGAGCTGTACAAACAGTTCCTAAGGAAAGCAAAACCAGTGGAGAAACTACAGCAAGGCAACATCAGTCTGTCTGCCTTGTCCTCCATTTCCTTCCTCAAAAAGATTTGTAACCGTAAGTATGCTTATTTTTGTGTTTTTATTATTATTATTATTATTATTATTATTTTTTATTTTTTATTTTTTTTTAATCCAATTCATTTTCATAAGGATGTCATCTAAATAGATATATTCAGGGCTTTAGGTAACAGCCATACCTATTTGTCTGGTTGTGAGATTTTTGGTACTGTGTGGATGTTTGCTGTCCCACAATGCCCACAATTTGATAAGCAGACTTAATGGTATGCCTAAAATATTAATGAGAGGTGCATTGTGGTCCCCAAAAGTTGTTGCTGTTGTTGACTGATTTGTATAAATTTGGCATATGTTTAATAAATATGTTGGACTTTAAACTGCAAAAAGGACCGGTGCCACACTGAAAATATTGTTCTCTGATATTTTATGTGTACTGACGTAAGTTAGGTGGATGCGGAACATTAGAGATCGGGTTTTTGATCGGGCTGCAGTAGTCGATACTGATCAGTTTGTTTAATGCCTGGATTGGCCCTGATTCCAGTCTTTGGTATCAGCTTGGGACAACACCGGTTCTGGGATAAACTAGAGCCCTAAAATTAAATTAGGTTTCTAATTTTATATATATATATAGACACACACACACACAGTGGTACCTCAGTTCTACGGGGTTTAATTACAGGTAAGGCAGGCAAAACGCAGACGGACAATACAATGACCAGACTGGGGAAACAAACTGAAACGCGGACTAAATACAGAGGACTCATGACAACAACCAGAAACAGCTGATCACATGGGGATTCCACACGGGTTTAACGAGGGGGCGTGGCACACGGAAGGAGCGTTCGATCGGGGCAGGACACATTGTTTTTTTAACTTTACACATTGTTTGGATACATTTATTTTCTTACTTTACAAATTACTGTTTTGATAAATGTCCTTAGATGTGTTTAGGACAGTATATGCTCTTCTTGTTTAATCCTGTTCATTTTGTGTTTAAATGCTAAAAAAACACATTTAGGTGTAATTTTTTGGGGCCGGGAACCAATTAGTTGGTTTTCCATTATTTCTTATGGGGAAAATTTTATCAGAACCCGAACTTTTTAGGATTGGATCCAGAGTTCCAGTTCTGAGGACCAGTTTTAGTTCTGAGGTACCACTGTATACAGATAAATTTGAGTCTGTGTAGTCCTTAAGGACATTTATTGTATTGCAGCAGAATATAGGTTTGAAAAATTTTGTGTATCTGTTGTTTTCTGTCTCTGAAGTTTGATGCTCAGGCTGTGTCAAATTTATATGTTTATTTTTTACCATTCAGATCCAGCTTTAATCTATGATAAGTGTGTGGCAGGAGAGGAGGGTTTTGAAGGGATGCTGGAGCTGTTCCCATCAGGTTTCTCCAATAAAGATGTGGAGCCACAGCTTTCTGGTAAAGCTCCAGTCCTGTTGTAAAATCATTATTTGTTTATATATTATTTATATTGTAGTCTCTGTATGGAATGACCTAGTATGTGTGTAATGGGATGGTTGTATTCTAGGGAAGATGCTGGTCCTTGACAGTATTCTTGCTGTGATGAGAAGCACTACCAATGATAAAGTGGTCCTGATCTCCAATTACACACAGACTTTGGACCTCTTTGAAAAGTTGTGCAGATCTCGGAGGTAAAAAGACTTAAACACACTATACTAGGCTGTAGATGCGGTCAATTCACGTGAGCTAAACCTCAGTGCTCTGGGCTGTTGACTAGTACCCCATGAATCCAAAGACAGACTATTCATGTCACTTGGTGGTTTGAAATTACCTATCAGAAATGTGTGTGTGTGTGAGAGCGGGTTTACCTATCCTTATGGGGACATTAAAGGGAAAACTCTATTTTTATAAAAATCGGTGACTGCTATGAAAAAAATGCAAAAACTCTTGTATTTTGTTAGGTTACTTATGGTTATGGTTAGGGCAGGGTAGGGGTTAAGGTTGTCATAGTTAGCGTTAGCATTGAAATGAATGAGCGGTCCCCATAAGGATATGTATACCCTACATGTGTGTGTGTGTGTGTGTGTGTGTGTGTGTTGTGGTCCTGTTTTGTTGAAGATGCTAAAAATTGTGGGGGCAATGTATTTCTGGGAGTAGTACTCAGTGGTTCAGAGCTTCTGTTGACCCAACCTCCACCATAATGAAAAACAGTTTAAAAGAGAAGTGATGGTGTTTAAAAGGAAGCCTGCATCCTATTCCTTAACCCAATCCCCGGGCCTGTCTGTCCGATTGCTGGCAGTCATTTGGAAATGTTCACTTGGGGGGAGTGAGGGGGAGGGAGGGGTAATAAAAAGGGCACGTGAATGGCAGCACGCATGGACACAGCGGCTTTGGTCTCCTCTGAACGGGGTTTAGGGTTAGTTTGTTTTGTTAATGTATCTGTGGAGATTATACTGTAAGTACTATTCAAGTGGATACACTACATTTCATTGCACATTGGTGCAATAACAACAAAAAGGCATTCTGTGTTTTTTGTTTGCCCTTGGGCACTGTCTGGTTTACTTAGTTTAGGATTAACCCCCCCTCGGTTTGCCCTGCTACAGTTGTTGCCCCCCACTCCACCATATTGTTAACCACCCTAACAAAACAAATGGTAAATTCCTTCTCCCTTGATTTCAAGACCAAGATTTCAGAATCATACAGATGCTGTCGATGAGATAAGGACTTTACTGGAATTTTACGAGGACTATTTGTTGTGCTTATCTCCCCTTCCTGCCTGGGTGGTATTGAAATGTTTTTTTTTGTTTTTGATCTGAAAGAGGAGATATAGCAAATTGCAGTCCATTTCTCAGGACCAAAGGCAAAGCAATATGTGAAGTTAGTTGAGATATCAGCTACTGAACTGTACTGAACAGAGCTGAATCTTTGGCCACAGCTACAAAGCCTAGTTAGTTGCCTTGATGATATTGAATGCTGGGTGACTCAGAATTTTCTCAAACTCAATGAAACCAAATCAGACATTATCGTTTTTAGCCCACTTGACTCCTTTACACAGATCTCCAGTAACCTAGATCAAATATCTTGCTTCATTAAGCCATTTGCCAAGAACCTTGGAGTAATTTTTGGATCTGCTCTCAAGTTTGACAAATAGGTTCATGCGGTTGTCAAATCCAGTTTCTTCCAGCTCAGAACCATCTCAAAAATTAAACCATTTCTCTCATCAAGTCACCATTAAATAGTCATCTATGCATTCATCACCTCAAGGCCTGATTTATTGCAACTCCCTGTACCCCAGAATCAACCAGTCATCCCTGTCCCCACCTTCAGCAAGGCTTCTCACTGGCTCCAGAAAAAGAGATCGCATAACCCTACTCTGACCTCTCTTCACTGGTTCCCAGTCCACCTTGGGATCAGTTTTAAGGTCCTCCTGTTTGTCTTTTAAAGCCTTAAATGGCGTAGCCCTCTCATCCACTTCAGAACTCATATGTTCCTACACAGCCTCCAGGCCTCTCAGCTCATCAGAAATGGGTTTTCTCATAATCTCTCGTCCCAAACAGAAACTAAAAGGTGACATACATTCTTTGTTGTGGCCCCCAGAGTGTGGAATGGTCTCCCCCTGGCCAGCAGATATGCTTCCGCATGTTTTAAAATCCTGTCTCAGACATTTTTGCTCTCTAGCCTTTAAGTCATATTAATAGTTTGACAAGTTCCCTTCAGTCAGTACTACTAACATCTTCTGTTTCTTTGCTGTCTGTGTTTACACGACGATTTTATCTTCTCTCGTACCTCAATTTAATTTCTTTTCCTTTTTCCCTTTTGGTGATGCTGTGCTTTTGGTCAACAAACAATGTGCTTTATAAATAAATTAGGTTTTTGACGTTTGAACAGAGATGTGAGTGCTAACTGCTTTTCATTGATTTCAAGTACTGAATAGGGCAATGACTAAACCTTTATTAACAGGTACCTGTATGTACGACTGGATGGCACCATGTCTATAAAAAAAAGGGCAAAGGTCGTGGAAAGATTCAACAATCCTTCGGTAAAGATTAATTTGTTCTTTATATGCATTCTGCAGTATAATGTTGGGAGGAGCTTTCATTGCTTAACAAAGTGTCCTTTTTATGTCTAGAGTCCTGAGTTCATTTTTATGCTGAGCAGCAAAGCGGGAGGCTGTGGCTTGAACCTAATTGGTGCTAACCGCCTTGTAATGTTTGACCCGGACTGGAATCCAGCCAATGATGAGCAGGCAATGGCCCGTATCTGGAGGGACGGACAGAAAAAGACCTGCTATATATACCGACTGATCACGGTAAGTGGAGTGGGCCACCAAACGGTTATCTAAGGCATCCTACAAGACTAAAATGATAATCCATGCAAATTCTATAATAGCTAATCCAGTATTCTGCCTCAGGGTGCATACTAGAAAACTAAAAGTAAATAAACGGCAACAACAATGTTAAAAAAGATATCAATCAAAGCAACATAGATTGCTTTTAAAAAGCCCTTAATAATGGTAAATTTGCAATTGCTGAATTATTCATAATTTCACTATTAAAATACTATATCTAATGGAGTAAAATGGAATACATTTCAAAAATCCTTATTTTTATCCTGTTCTTTATTTTTAGCTTCAATGCTAATAATTTCAAGACTACTAGAATTAATTTAAACTTGGTATGGCAGTAAAGACATCCTGCATAAGTATTACACAAAGTATAGAAAAATTCTTATGTGTCCTGTACTGCCCTACGTTACATTAAAGAGGAACTTGTTTGTGAAACTAACTGTGCAGTACAGTACAGTGCAACACTGCACAGTACCTAAGACCTTGAGAGGAAACTGGAGTACGGTACTCAGACAAAATGCACGCTAGACAGAGAGAAATTCCGCATAGAATAGGGGAGGGATTTGAACCCTGGAAGTGCAAAGCAACAATGCTACAAACTAACAATCATAATACTGGAAATTAAAACATAAAATATACAACATATTTATAAATTTATTAGTGTGTTGTACAATCTGTGTGTTGTATGTTCATTGCTAGGCAGTGATGTCCTAACCTGTCAGACCTTTAAACGCTCTTATTATACAGCTGCCTCAAGCCTAGTTCATACTTTACGCTTTCCTTGTGTGCTTTCGTGCGCTTCTGCTTGGGAGACAGTCATCCGAGTGTTCATACCGTGGATGCAGATCGTCTTGGTCAGTGCATGCGTACTGCAATGATATTCCTCCAGACCAGCAGGGGGCAGATATCATCTTGGTCTAAATGAAGTTTACACAGAAGCAGGAAGAGATATGATTTATAACAGAAAGTTTCAAGTCTTCTTGGGTTTTTAAAACAATAAAAACATAACTTTTTAAAGCACTTAACAGCTGTTGGCTTTGTCTCAAACAATATACACAGTAAATATGTTTAATATTTTACTATTTACCTCTGCCCAGTCACATTTCTCATTGAGAGTACTACTTGATTCTTGTGATTAATTATAAATTATAATCGACATATGTGGAATATATTATTAATCTTCAACAAATATAAATGAGACAAGGTTTCCAGAGATGTTTTATTGCTGTGAACTAAACAGATTGAAAGGGCAAACTTTACATACATGCCACCTACTTGCACATACACGATGTGCACGGTTTCCGCTAGACAAAAATGGGGGCTATACGAGCACCATCCGCAGCCAACCCCTGAAGATGAAATTTACATCACTTCTCCCCCCCCCCCCTTGTGAAACCAAAAACACATGAGGAAAAGTGAAGTATGGCCTTATCTGATATTGACTAGCTTCTCCTTAATGCAGTAGCCTAATTTTTGTTTGCACATCTGAGGGCGTTACAGTCCACCACAGCATGTTTGGTGCACTTATTTAGATGTGGCAGGGAGCGTTGTCCTCCTGTGTCTTTGGACGTCCACCTGACCGATTTTTCTCTCCTCACGCATCCAGACCGGCACAATCGAAGAGAAGATCCTGCAGAGGCAAGCTCATAAAAAAGCCCTAAGCAGCTGCGTAGTGGACGAGGAGCAGAACGTTGAGAGGCACTTCTCGCTGGGGGAGCTAAGAGAGCTTTTTTCATTGGCTGAGGATACTAATAGCGATACACACACTAAGTGAGTGAAGTTCACTGCCTCACACTTCATCTGCAGAGGCTAAAGAGGAATCGCTGTGAATCGGAACCTGAATCACAATCATTTTTATGATTTTACCCCAGGTTCCGCTGCAAGCGCTGCGTGAATGAGCTACAAGTACGCCCTCCACCGGAGGACTCTGACTGCACCAGCGACCTCTCCCAGTGGCACCACTGCTCCAACAAGAGGGGCTTGGCAGATGCAGTCCTGCAGGCCTCTTGGGACGGTGTCATCTCATTCGTTTTTCACCAACGGTCACATGAGGAGCAGAGAAGAACGGCGTGAGAAAGTCAAGGAGTGAAAGAGAGTAATTATAGTGCAATAATAAATCAATTATGCCATTAAGACAGTTATAAGGTTCATGTTTATGGATTTTTCTGTTTCTTAAAATGAATGATATAAGCTGTATAACTTATTTTGTGATTCGTTGTAATAAAAAAAGGTGTACATTTCCAGGAATTTGTCTGGTTTGGCATGCAAAAAAATGCTAAAAAAAAAAAAAAAAGCACCACTCAGAGTCAGGCCCATGGCTCATCATGGGGATTTGTGCTTCGTGATGGAAAAATGCAGAGGATGAGGGTCCTATTTGCTCTTCTGCTAGTCCTTAGGTAGCTATTATCTAAAGCAGTGGTTCTCAACCCTTTTGCACTGCGACCTAATTTTTACCATGCCAGCTCAGTCGTGACCCTATGTCAAGTATAGGTCTACATTAAGGCCAAGATCAAGTGTGCAGTGCACTCTGCAATTTACAACAATTGATGCCTATCACACAAACCTCATTTGTTGTGCCAATGAATTTTAAATTAAGCATCTGTGGTTTGACTTCTTGGATTGGTTGTGTTCAATAATTTTGTGCTAAGCAGTTGCAGACCCAATACCCATTTATATAGGTTAATTCTAAGATTGGGGCTGGGAAATCTGATCGTGGATCAGCATTAGAGCGGGCTGGTTTTAAAATGCTTGCATTTCCAACTCTGTCTTGCAGCTCTTTCAGAATTTCCTGGGACCCAAATTTGGGTCACGACCCATGAGTAGAGGCAGGTATTGTGTCATTAAAAAATCTTTTCGTTTCACTATTTCAGATCGTTGTACCAAAATTTATCTTCATTGTGGAGAAAAGTAAATAACTGCATAAGAGATCAGAGTGTGTAATATTCTTCGTTTTAGTGAATAAAGCCAAGTATTTCCTTGTTCGTAGGCTCATCGTTTCCATATGGGTTAAATGCATATTTTGAGATGTGAACGAGTGATATAGGCTATTTCTATAAAATATGTAAAGATGGTTTCCTATTTCCGTGGTACATTTAAATAGACGGAACTACTTATGTTTCCCCTTCGAACCGAAGAAAACCGCGCGCTGCCTACAGGAGATGCGTTTCATTGGAGGGATATAGCACTATATAGCACTAAAGAGAAAACAATCAAGACCAGTGACATATCTAGCTATTGAAAAGATCAGAGGCTAAGTCAGGTTTGCCTGGGGCTTTTCTTTCCTTACATATACACTTAAGTATTATCAACACGAAAATCATGTTCAAGAAAACAGGCATTTAGCCATTGACTATTAAATATCATTAGTATTATTAATCACCATTTATGATTTAATCAAAATAAATTCTCACTTCTCACCTTTAGGACCACATAGTGTAGCGTAGAATTTGTGTCTATCATATTACAATATCCCAAATCCCAGATGATACCCCATTTAACAAAACCTAAATGATCATCCCATCTTGGATTATTCCCTGCCTTGCAGCTCTAACCTTCGGACCACTGGCACCGTTAGGTCCAATCACCCAGAGCTATGAAAAGGAGAGCAGTGCCAGTCTGCGAATGGAAAATGATGTGTCATACCAATTACATCAACATACAGACTGTGTAACAGAGCGGAACTTGCACTGCCTGAAGGCCAGGGGAGTATTGAAGCGCTGCACAGTGCACAATAAAGTTTGAAGTCTTGTGCACCCAGATGAAAAACTAAGGTTTCAAAACAAATGCACAATGTTCTTGGCTATTTTAATAGTAAATCTAAAGGTAAATCAGGGCATTTCCAACTTTTAGACTCCTACCCACTTTCACACTGCACAACAGAACTTTAGGACCTTAATGCTAAATAAACATGGGAGATGCAAAAAGCTCGCAGGTTAAACTTCACATATAATTTTTAACTACATTGCTACCCAAAAACAATAGTGGATGAAAAAGTTATTCTGTTAAGTTATTCATTAGGAATTATGAGTGAAGTTTAACCTGTTATTTAGAATTGTGTGTGAAGTTTAATCTATAGGCCCTACGTGCTTTTTGCGTCTCCCATTTTTATTAGGCATAAATTTAAGGTCCTAGTTCCAGGGCTCTCACGTCTCACGCATTGACCGTGAGACCGCTTCACCCCTAATGTAATCTCACTCCAAACGTTTGATGAAACTTGAGAGTCCTGTAGTTCTGTCATGCAGTGACAGAGAGTGGGCACAAGTTATAAAAGTTCCCCGTCCAGACAGCCCAGGAACTTAACCATGCAGAGGTGTGAAAGCGCCTCATACAGCAAGCCCTTTTCAACTGAATTGAAAACCCACGTTCAGCGATGACCCCTTGAGATTTATTCTTAAAATAGCTAAGCAGGCTAGATAGATTTAAAAAAAACGGAGCTTTTGTGCAGTGTGCAGTGCTTGATTAGTCCCCCGTCCTTCGGACGCTGCAGATCAAATTCCGTTGTCTGTTGGTTTGCTGCAACATTTTTTTTTTCATTTTTAGACAGGCTCTTCTCCCCCTTTTCAGTGCGAAAATACTCGGGGTTGCATCACCGGGCGATCGGATCTAACGACACCAATGATCAAGACGCTTCCTGTCCGAATTTATAACCAAGATAACTATACAGCGTCAATATACTTTACGACAACCCCCAGCGAATTCGCCACTTTAAATTCATGATGTCACATATGCCGACGGTGACATGTGAATCAGTAGGGCCGCCTCCCGAAAGGTCAGAAGAGTTGGTGACTGGATCTCCATTACCGCCGCGTCTCCGTGCACCGAGTTCGGGTGTCGGTGCGAGACAGGACAGCACAGTGCAGGTGCATGCGAAACGTGTGCTGTATGTTTGAAAGGGACGGTGTCGTTGGTGTCCGTGTCGCTAGACCTATTGGATCATGAAGCTGTGGTGCGACTCGCAGGTGATTCCGGTACATCTGTCCCGAGCCGCAATGCTGGCTGCCGCGGCCTGCGGTATTGGGGCCGTGTTGCTTCTCCGTGGATGGATGGACTCGGTGCGGGCGGCGAAAAAGACGCGCAGAGCCCGCATACGCAGGGACGAGTCGTTTGGGCTCGCCGAAAAAGCCGTGAAGGAGTTCGCAGAACAGGTGACGTGTCTTCACACTTAAACTGCGTTGTTTGAATTTAGATCCAGTCTTTTTCATGTGGATCTGGGTTCAGTATAAAAGTAACTTTTAAAATAAAAGATGCCATGTTTGTAATTTGATTGCATCTTCACAGCCTCAGCACGCCGCTTGTCTTTCCGAGGCATCAGACGCTTGGGACCCCACACGTTTCCATGATCGCTGTTCACTAAATAATATGTAAATTAAGTTGTCGACTTTTTCCAGTTGCTATAAATTTATATACTTTGAGTTTAAACGTGATGTACATCGACAATGATATAAAAGCTTTCATACTTTTGTACGCCTGTACATTGTCGGACCTCGCTGAGAATCTTGGGAAAAAGAGCTGACTCAACTCTGTTTACACTAATGTTATGAGAATGGAATAATACCGTCAGTTTGATTCACCTTCTTTTTTAGCATTAAGTTCTCGGTATTCTCTTCATTTATCCACATTTACATGCCTGCATAATGACTTTTTGTGACCGTGAATTTAAACCACAGTCTCTGCTGTTTTTTAGAACCCGGGGATAGATAGTAATGAAGTTACGGCTCTGTCTCTCAATGAGCTCTGCAAACAACTGAAAGACGGAGAGTTGAGTCCCCACGCTGTTCTTCATGCCTACATTGAGAAGGTGAATGCGTTCATACACGTCTTTTAAACTATTGTCACATTTGTCCCATTAACCCTTATCAACCTGCATTGTAATAAGTGGGTCTAAAGTCGGGAATAAATTAACCTCCGAATACCTAGCTAGCAATATGACACTGGCGCTGTCTAATGCGGAGTTTACTCAATCATTTATGACTAGAAAAAAATATGACAAACTTATGATGTTGCAAAATTAGTATATGCAGTGTAACTTCACTTTCACTAATGGGGAAACAGCTAAAACACATTTTTGTATCATATTAAAAAATATATATATTGGAGTCAATTATAATTTATTTTTGATTTAAGACTGATGATTAAAATTAGAAAATGCTTAGGTAAGGATTTCTACCACATACATGTCTTGGAATGAAATTGTGTATAAAACCTGCTTCTTTAAAATGGTTATGAATTGCAAGCTGTTGTACCACTGTGAAACTCCGAGTAAATAATGCACACAGAGAACAAGCACAGAAAGCCACCTTTCAGCTAAGATTTCTTATGACATTTCTTACATTGCAGGCATTGCAGGTGAGCCGGAGGCTCAACTGCAGCACCGAGTTCCTCTTGGAGAGTCGCGAACAGCTGAGGGAGATAGAGACGCATCAGGATGGACTCCTGTTTGGCATCCCTGTTAGCATAAAGGATAATTTGAATTACAAGGTACATCATCCATTGGCGTCCCGTCCAGGGTGCCTGCTCTCCAAGTCTTATTCTGGATAAGCAGTTATGGGTAGATAGATGGATGGTCCTTTACATTATAGTACATTATATACATTTAACATTTCCACTGTGAATCTCAAAAAACAAAATCCTTTTTTTGTGTTTGCTTTATAACCCCAAATACAGTGTGCCCTTACCCTTATTGACATAGCATGATGTCTTGAGGCAGTTCCGGCAGTCCTGTGACTCTGTGTGGTTCGCAGGGTCATGACTCCAGCTGCGGTGTCATCTCTAAGCTGGACCAGCCTGCCACTGCCGACTCGGTCCTGGTCCAGGTGCTGAAAAGACAGGGTGCTGTACCATTTGTCAAGACTAATGTTCCTCAGGGACTGCTCAAGTAAATGTCCGCACTGCACCGTGAGCAGCTTTAGGCAGTGCATGCACTGCAGGAGTGTGGTCCACCAAATGATGTTCCAGTAATAACTAAACTAACTATGTACACTCATTTTTTTTAAAGCTTAAATTTGCAAACACCCCATTTTCTAATTTCTGCTATAATTTTTACCCACTCGTATTCACTGATCTAAAATGAGGTGACATTTGAACAAAGACAAATGACACAAGCTCCATACAACCAAGGGTGGAAATTTTACTACTAGGGGTTCGTGTAGTAGAAGTGCATAGACCGTCATGCAGTGTTTTTTACTGTGTTGGTGTTCTGACCCTTCATCTAAATGACTCACCTCAGGCATGTGGGCAAGCTTATTGTCCAGCTCTGTGTACAACCCGAAGAAAGCAGAATGTTGGAGGAGAGAGATGAAAAGTAGCAGTTTTATGCAAAAAAAAAAACAAAACAGGAAGCCACTTATAGCAATGAGAAGGTTGGCCGCTGACCACTGACCTCCCTGCTCCTGCTGAGGGAGCTTATTAAAGCAGGTGTAGGTGTCAGGGGGTGGTGACTGTCACCATAATCAGCTGAACATGGCTATGTCGCGTTAGGTGCAGGGCGTCACTGACTGGCTGTCTCAAATGGGGGGGCTAAAATTTTGCCAGCTTGCCGCTGTCTGCGGTGCTGCAGCCTTGCAGTCACATGGAGCTGAGTGTGTGGCGACACACCGCTTTGCAGGATGCAGAGTGTCACTTTACACTACCCTTTAAACAGGTGAAATACGTCAGGCATGTAGACGGGTGGTTTAAATTATTGGCTTGAAATCCCCCCCAGTTTTATCTACCGCAGGATTTTGTAAATAAGTTGTGTATATTACAGTGCATTATATTATGCATAACACAATGAATGCTACCTTGATATTGAGCGTTTGTGACTGTTACTTTTTAACCCAGGTCCCTATGCACTTCAGTATAATATCACATGAACTTTTGCTCAGATCAGCACTTTTCCACTGGCGTGCCATGGCCAGATGAAAAATGCTGCCTTGGACAAAGTGTACCATAGCAGAACAAAAGGTTGGGAAATACTGGCTTAGATGACTAAATATGAACAAAGGTCATATTCGTTTAGATTCAGATTTAGAATACTTTATTTATCCCTAAGGAAATTATGTGGTTACAGTTGCTCCCGGACAGTAAGAAAATAATTAAGAAGTTAAATGCCAATAACAAATAATACAAATATTACAATACCAAAATATTACAATACCAAAAACATTACCAAGCTCCTTAATTTTGAAAGCTGTACTTTTGTCTTGTTTCTTAAACAAGATAAATTTTACCCAAAAAGATTCAGGAAAAATAACGTCACTTTGACAGTTTGTAGATCTGTGATCATTTGGCTTGTATGAAGCTCCCTCCATTGTCCCACCAACTGAAGGGTTTCCCTTTTGTTTTCTCACTTTGTGTTTGTTCAGCTACGACTGCAGTAACCCAATATATGGACAGACACTGAACCCTTGCAATCTTCAGAAGACTTCAGGGGGGTCCTCTGGAGGGGAGGGGGCGCTGATTGCTGGAGGAGGATCCATCCTGGGAATCGGGACAGATATTGGCGGCAGCGTTCGCATTCCAGCGTCTTTTTGCGAAATTTGCGGCTTCAAACCCACTTCTGGCCGATTGAGGTCAGTCTCTAGATTTGCAAGCCGAATGAGAATATTGGCATTTATTATGTAAATAGCATGTTCGGATTTCATTTTTCTTATTTTCTAAGAAAATGTCACATTACCTCAACTTTCATTGCTTTGAAATATATGAAAGTGAACACAATTTCACATTTTGATTTTTTGGGATATTTTTGGCAGATATTGCATTTGTATATATGAATATAACATTTTGTATATATCAAATTAATTTAGGACAATGTGTATGTCTGCATAAATGAAATCTTGTGACATACTTTGTCATGCTTGTCTGTTTACTTACAGTTTGCGTGGTTGTGCTTCATGTGTCCGAGGACAAAAATCTGGTGAGATGATTGTATATTTCTTATTCCTAAGATATACCAACATCTGCATGAGATTTCGGCTGTAGGAATTAGTGTCAGTGCTGCTGTTGCTGACGTTTTTGGGCTAGATCCTGCTTGGGGCAGCAGGATGACATCAGGAGCGCTTTACACTCACACTTCACTTCTCGTTTCTTTCTGGCAGTCTTGTCGACAGCCGGCTGCTTGGCTAAGGATGTAGACGGCCTTGCCCTGTGTATGAAGGCACTTTTATGTGAAGACATGTATTTTCTGGACCCTACAGTCCCTCCAGTTCCATTTAAGGAGCAGGTAAAATGCTGGTCTCACATTTTCTTTCCATGAAGGGTCTGTCCCCATGTCTCTCATTTGTCCCTCCTCTCTCTTAAGGTGTACTCCAGCACCAGGCCGCTAAGAATTGGGTACTATGAGAACGATGGCATGACGCTGCCATCTCCTGGCATGAGCCGAGCTCTGCGGGAGGTCAGAGAGCTGCTGGAAAAAGCAGGGCACACGGTGTGTTTTTCAGGCACATTATTCTGGGAAATGTTGCACCATACCTGTTAAGCACCAACCAGACAGAACTCCATTACTAATATGAACACACCAGCTCAGTACATCAGCTCAAACTTAATTTTACTTGTACTTGGTCGTAAGTTGCTAGTTAAAAAGTCTTTTTAAAGATTACAAACTTGAAATTAGATACTTGGATAGCCTTTATTTTGGTAAGGAATATGGCAAGTCATTCTAATCACAAAACACGTTACAGACCAGAAAAAAACTATTCCACAGAACAGTGAAATTAAACTTAGGATAACATAACTTTCTCATGTTGTATGAGTTATGAAATGCAAGCCACTATAGGAAAAATTTCACCCTTTCAGCCTGAGATTTAATTTGAGATGGTTCTTAAGTTGTCAGGAGTAACTGAATATATGATATACTGAACTGAGCTGCTTGCAAACTAATGCACAGTGCAAACCCATGGTAAGAATGAGAAGCAGATTAGTGCACTTTTCAATTGGCTGAGTACATTATCGTGGGCAAGAGTGTCTAGACATGAAATTAAAAAGAAAACAGCTCTGTGGTGTTCAATTAATTAAGTGGATTTATCATTGAGCTGTCAGCCTTTGATATTCCTTCCAGATATTTTTAAGTTTTACATTTCCCAGATTTGACTGGCCTGATTTTGTGTGTGTGACATTTTCTTGGTCCCCACAACGATAGACTCAATTTTATATAAAAAAATTCAGTAAAAAAAAACAAAAAATGTCAAAAATCTTGTATTTTGTTTGGTTACCTATGGTTAAGGTTGAGCTGGGCAGGGATTAAGGTTGTCATTGCTAGGATTAGGGTTATGCCCATAGAAATTAATGGAGTACGTGGAGTGTGTGTGTGTGTGTGTGTGTGTGTGTATGTGTGGTTTGCATGTGTGATCGTGTGTGCGTCATGCCCTGTACTGCCTGGGAAAGGCTCCATGTCTCCTGGATAAGTGACTAGAAAATGGATGGTTTTTCCTATTTAATACTGCAAATATATTGGTATATTGTAGCACGAACTGGATTCATGACCAATACAACAGTAAAATTAGCATGTCCTTTTTAAACTGAGGTAGACCCGTTCTTCTTATTTGTCTGACACTTTTATTCACAATGACTTGCATTAGAGGGAAGAGTTATAATTTATGGGTGTTCTCTGCGATTTGAACCCATGACCTGTGCATTGTTAGCACATTATGCTATTTGTTGACCTACAGGAACACATGTGTTGTAGTCTTGTTGTTACCATTTGACCTTACATTCCTTTCCTGTATGCAGATTGTCCCATTCACTCCGCCAAGGCTGTTCTACGCCATGCATGAGTTGACCATCAGGGGAATTCTGGCAGATGCAGGTGTCTCACTCCTTAGCAATTTGTAAGCAGACCAGCCTATCTTGCATTCCTTCCCCTAATGCCATATGCTACGAAAAAACACTACTTGGTGTAATTCAAGTATGCCTAGAATGTTCCAATCTTACTGTTTTAAATAGGTATTCTTAAAATATTTAGTGTTTGGCTGTTACTGCATCGCTTGAATTTATCTGCGTTTCATAGGATTTTTATTCTGTTATTTTAAGTACCATATGGCTTACAGGTAATGATAGTTACGGATAGTTTTTGGGTCTGTAAAATCCATGTGAGTAACAGTACTACATGGTACAGTACTTCCCCCCCATATGATTTTTTTTCTGCGTATACAATATACATCTAAGTAAAATATATATATCAATTATTTTTGTATATGATGTAATGAGTTTAAAAGTAAACAAAATAAATGTAATGGTTTGATAAAGTGGTCAGCTTCCCACACAGCGGGTTAGGCTGCTGTGCTTGTGATAAGGGTGCTGGTGCAGTTAATCGTATTAGTGAAACAACCCATATCAGCTTGGAAGTGGAGACTTGTATTGCAGGTAGTGTAGTTCAGAAAATTAAGTGCTCTGTGAAATTTGGTGTGCAGTCCAGGTGCCAGATGCCTAGGCTTTGTGTTTCTGAGCATGGCACTTAAGCTGTTCTAGTGAAACTATGTAACTGTAAAATAAATGATACTATAAGCAGAGTGGATCATACTGAAAATACGTACCAGATACACAAATTTATAGGTCAGTTGCAAACAGGATATTTTGGGACCATATGGAGATGAATAAAAGGCCTGTTTTTATAGGAAAGGAAGCCCAATTGACCCATGCCTTAAAGATCAGACCAACAGCTATAAACTTCCTCTGATCTTCAGGAAGATCTGTTCCTTTTTCCTGAACCCACTGGTGAGTATATTTCTATTGAATGATGCTGACTGTTCATACAGTTTACTGTGGATGCTGGCGCACCTCGTCGTGTCATGTAATGCCGTACTGTCCGCGATGCTGAATGTTCATACTTCTTTGCCAACACCCTGTACTTTGATGCTGGGCCTGGAGTGATGCTATAGAGCAGGGGTGGCCAATCTTATCCGCAAAGGGACATTGGGTATGCGGGTTTTCGCCGCAACTCCCTAATTACTAATTAGAGGACTGATTAGGTGAAGAGTCCTCACACCAGGGTTTGAACAGCTGACCTACAGATTATTACCAAAAACCTGCATACACACCGGCCCTTTGTGGATAAGATTGGCCACCCCTGCTGTAGAGCAAAGCTGCTCTTAAATCATGAAGTGTGGTAGGGATCTTATAGAATATAAACATTTTCATAAATGACAAAAAAAAGATACAAAAATAATAAAACTGCAATGAACTATAAATATTGCTTCTTAAACGAACTGAAATAAAATTAACAACAAATGTGAAATACTTATCGTTTGTAAATACTATGCAGATAAAGTAAGTATGAATCAGCCTTAACGATACAAAAGACAATCAGAACCGGGAGAACAATGTCCTTTATCTCAGATAACATGTAAGTGATGGATACAAATGAGTGTTTTTATAGACACAGGGACTCAGGTGGCCGCCTTATTAGCAACAGAAGGAAGCCTAGCTACACCTTGATAGCCTGTCCATGAAAATTACAAACAGGAGTGGAGACAAGATGGATCATAGTTTGTGTGCCCACTCCCCACAGACCTGTTTTCCAGTGAAGGTCCTATCAGGATCTAAAGCTGTACATCAGTGTTTCTCAACTGCGTACTGAAGCACTCCAGAAAAATGCTGCCTTATGGATAGTGTGCCCTGGCAGAAAAAAGGCTGGGAAATGCTGCTCTAGATGACATAAATATTTAGGTCATTAAGGTACACAGACCCCTCCACCTCAATAAGGTCATGAACCTTGGAGGGGCAGTCTATCAAAGGCACTCTATCACCATGCAGAGAACCTGAAAGTGCAGGATCGATGGCCCTTTTGAATGAAATTTATAAAATTTATATAACAGTGTCGATTGGCAGAATGGGATGGCCAACTCCAACTGGTATCTGTCAGGCCCAGGTGATTCTGTAGTGGTTATTTATCAGGCCAAGTCAATCTGTAGTGGGTATTGATCAAGGTGATTTCATGGTGTGTATATATCAGGCTCACGTTTTTCTGTAGCAGGTAATTTATTTATAAAAAAAAAAAGAGAGAGAGAGAGAGAGAATTTGCTCTTTTGGTTCTCACCACAATATATTGTTTCCCCAGACCTGTAACTCAAGAATAAAAGGATTTTGAAAGGATTTAAATGGAATTTGGACCTATGAATTTTTTTGATTGTGGATAATTAGGTTTGTTTCTTGTCTTTTTTTCTTCTGTTCCAGTACCCTCGCCTAGCAAATGCAATTCAGGGAACTTGTGGAGTCAGGTAAGGTTCCTGAGTAGAACTTTGGGTACTACTGTTTAACAGGGTGTGTTTGAATATAAACACAATTAACTCATTATAGTTGATAACGATTTAATTACTTTTATGAACATTTTTTAATGTAGTTGCTTGCGTATTTTTTCTGTGAAAGTAATCCAAGCATTTAAATGGGTGAACATTCCTCTCAAAAGGATTTAGATAAGCTGGAGTGGATTATGTGCAAGTTCATTGTAGAGTGAGTGAAATGAAACACTTGCCATCTCTACAAACTCAATTACTCAAAACCTGGAGCTTTAACAACAAAAGAAGCCAATAAGATAATACCTCCCATACCAAGGGAAAGACATGTGTTGAACAGATCTTTGATTAAAGAGACATATTATGAGGACTACTTTGAAATCTGATAACTGCTCATTGGTGACAGGTGATTCAAAATGTCATTTAACAATGCAGTATCAAAATGTATAAGGTCTTTATTATTACGATTCAGACCATAAACTATAAATGTATTGCATCAGTTGTATAAATGGAAGCAACAATGAACTAATTTCAATTTTTTTTAAGTTCAGTGACTGATCTTTGGAAGCAGCATGCTGATGTTGAGGTATGTTAAACAATATTATCATTTTCAAAGGATCTTCCAAAGACAGTCCTGTACATGCAGCTCATAAGCAATCTGTGGTGGATAAGCAGTTGTGGAGATGGATGGATATTCTCTCTGTCTTGCTTTTTGCTTTGAAGTCCAAGGAACTTTTGTTCTTAGACTACTTGCAAATAACGTGTAAAATGCAAAAGACTGCAAGAACATTTTAGTGAGATAAAGCATTTAAAACTGTATGTTTAATATTTAGTTTTTGAGGAAGGTATGGAGCTGCTGCTATGTTTAACAGTTATATTTTGGATGCAAACTCCCCAAAAGAAGTTAAAAAAAGTTATTTTTTTGAGACAAGTTTAATCAAATCTGCTTGAATACGTGATTATATTAAAATGGTAAAATGAAGCTCACGAAACAGAACATTGGCTGCTGTGGATTGGCGTACCGTATACATGAGACTGCAAGTTGCCTATTCGCTTTATGAGTCCTTATTTTTTTGCAGGACTACACCCATGAGTTCATTGCAGAGTGGAGAAAGCTGGAGTTGGACGTGGTTCTCTGCCCCATGCTTGGCCCAGCATACAACTTTGGATTTTGTGGGAAACTTACCTGTATGTAAATGCATTCTCTGCTGTTGGGTCTCCTAATGACTGGCAGATGACAAGAAGAAAATATTTGGGTTGACTTTCAGAATCCTGTAAACGGAGCTCATATGAAGTACGAAAAACTGGAGGCTGTCATTTTTTCCTTTTCGTATCTCTTTTTGACAGGTGCCTCCAGTTATACTGCCCTCTATAATCTTGTCAACTTTCCGGCTGGAGCTGTGCCTGTCTCCACGGTAACACAGGAGGACGAGAATGAGCTAAAGCATTATAAGGGTAATTTTGGTGATATCTGGGACAAGACCTTCAAAAAGGTAAACCTGTGAGTGTGTGACTTCCTGTGTGTTCCTACCTCCTGGGACTGACAGCAATTTAATCAACTCAAGACATTATACTATGAAAATTTCCTAAGCAATTCATATGCCCATTTCCTGATAGCTACACTGATAGGTCACTGATAGGTGATGGACATTTTAGGTCCAGAAAGTAAAAATCCAGACCAAGATTTTGTTTCAACCAACCAGTTGAGCAGAGTCACAGGGCCCTATTTTCCACTGGAGCAAAATGCAACGCAAAGTGGTTTTGCTGTTTTAAGGCAGCAAAGTGTCAAATTGACCAGCAAAAACCGTGTTTAAAGTCAGTGGTGCATTGTTAAACGGTATTTAAGCGCCACATTTTAGAAACATGATAGGGGCATGACACTCGTTATTGACTCACGTATATGTTCGAGGTGCACTAATGTTTTTTTATTTTACTTTCATTTTTTATATGTTGTATTATAGAGTATAGAGTAGGTTTTCCCCATCTTCTGGTATCATTATTCCACTTTCCGCACTGAGCGGGTGATCAAATGATGCCAGAAAATGAGGACATATTCTCTGCTACCTCATCCCACGCCTGCTTCACTGCTAAAGGCTTAGGTGAAACAGTGGTGCTCCCATAGATGATGCATTTGCGCCTTTTCACCTTGCACTTCAGCAGGTCCGTTTCCTCGAGCCAAAAGCGATCTGGCTTGCCGGGGAAATGCGAGGTTAATGTAGCAGTCCATCATAGATGATGAGCTGCTGCCTTTTAACGGTGATGTGACGTGCCATTCTGATTGGTTTATTAGATGTTATGCCCAAAATATACCCAAAATAAGAGAGTTAAGAGAAACTTTTTGCACCTTGTGCTGCCGCAAAGTCAATTTTTTTCGTCAAAATAGCAAAATGGATTTGGACATGCCCATAAATGTTTGTTTGCGCTTTACGCTTTGCGTATCAAAATAGAGCCCACAGTCACAGTACTCAACAGGTTGGCTGAAACAAAATCGTGGTCTGCATTTTTACTTTCTGGACCTGAGATGTCCACCTCTGTAGGTCACCCACCCAGGGTGCTCACATAAATGTGTTCCCCACTCCCAGGGGATTTTTTGGGACCTCATCACTGTAGGCCTCCGTGACGCTGCCTAGGGTCATATGTTTACATTATACTTACGTTTTTGTGAATGTCTGTCCCCTGGTGTCTTTTTCTTATTTTCAGGCTGTGACAGGTGGTCAAGGGCTGCCAGTGGCTGTGCAGTGCATCTCTCTGCCCTGGCAGGATGAGCTGTGCCTACGCTTCATGTGGGAGATTGAGCAGCTAGTCAAACAGCACAGAAACCAGTAGCCTCATTTAGCAGCAGTTTGGCTGTAGATCTAGTCTGTGCATCAAGGGCTGCATGATATCACATTGTGATTACATGACATGTGCAGTAATCACCAGGTCTTTAGATGACGGTGATATCGTACAGCTGCAGTGCAGCAGTAGACTGGATCATGTGTACTCCACATTTTTTATGTTTTGTTTTGCTAAATAAAAAAAAATGGGTGATGGAAAAACTATTTGATTATGCCTTTGATATAACATGCATTAGTAAGCAAACGTTTATGGTTATTCTAAACCTGGTGAACAGGAATAGATGTGTAGGATTTTAGGCCTTAAGGCAGCAGGGACACTGAAAATAGGGAAACTTGCTGGCGTATGTTCAGCGGAAATGTTGGTAGCTCCCTTCCTGGACATCTTTGTTTTAAGTAGACACTTCTAAAGGAATGGTTTAGGTGTCAACTTTTCTTAGGCCAGCATTAGGCTGAAGTGTTTTTCCCAAAAACTTTGACATCTGAGCAATAATCCATACTTTGAGGTGGACTGAGAAAGCAACTGTTTCAAAGCGTACACCCTATAGCTGCAGTAGGACACCATAAGCATGCTATACCTCCATTGGTCCAATGTTTCTAACAATATATGACTCGTACTGCTCAAGTGAATCATGCATCTTCCCACTCTATGTGAACCTGAGTGACGGCGACGTCATGCTTTTCAGTGCTTTTTCATGAAGTTTTCTGAAGGTTCTGTAATGGTTTTGGAACATTTCTCTGTGGGTTCTTTGAAATGGTGAAAATAATAGGGCTGCTGCGATTCGTCGACGTTAAAATGGTCGACATCAGTATTTTAAATTGACATTTTTTGTAAAATTGCCTTTACAATTTCTAAAACACTTCATTATAACAAATTAATCGTTTAATATCACTAGGTAATTGTGGGAGTACTTCACATTATCACCAAACAAAAAGGTGGTTTGCACACCATGCAAAGTTCGATGATATACTACAGTGGCACTAGCGCTATGCACGAGCACCTAGAGAGAAAACAACCAGGCACATACAGTATGTTGTCAAAATAAAAATAAACGGTCAGTTTGATTTTTTTGGAGGAAAATTAGTCATTTATATTAATTGACCAATTGGTAAAATAGTCGTTAGATTTATCCATCAAAAAAATTATCGTTAGTGGCAGCCCTAGAAAATAGGATTAGCCAGAGACCATGAGAGCGATATGTTCCTACAGGATGATAAAATATCCAGTCTTTCCAGTTTTATTCAACTGTTAAGCTTCCCAATTTTATTGAAGAATAAAATTTAAATGTGAGCTTCAGTAGTAACTTGATATACTAGTTTGATTATTGTGTTACCTGTCACTTTGATTTAGTGTTTTTTATATCTTGCACACAGTTACAGTAAGAATAACTATTTCTAAGAAGATACATTCAAAATAAATTGCTTAGTAGCTAAATTATTTCATTACTGAAAAATAAAAAATCTTAATGTGTGCAGTGACATTTTTACAATAAAACTAATTTCATTGTAGTATTTGGAATTGATTGTAACAAGCTGCATTAAAAATGCATTTTCATTAAAAATAAAAACATCCAAATGTGTACAGTTTCCTGTAGTAATTTATAAAGTTAGAAAATACATTTTTACAGTAAAATATGAAGAATATGGTTTAAGGTTTGTATGTTCCCCCCTACACACACAAGGCAATATACTTTGTGTTCCTGCTGAAGCTGTTAAAATATTGTTTTTCATCAGATGGCCTCCTTGACAGGATCTACCTCTTGAAGAATTTTATTGAGATCTTGTAAAAATCTGTTATTATTCAGTCCTTGAAAATCTTACTGAATTCATTTATTTTTAAGGACTTTTTAAAAATATCTGATTCAGTGTACCTCTGCCTTGTGCCCTAAACTTATGTCTGTCCTGAACAGACTTGGCAGGAAGACAGTAAAGAGATGTTTGCAGTTATTTTCTACTTCTGCTTAAAATACATGCTACAATGTGTACAATCTTCCCTGAAAGTGACACTGTTATGGCAAAAATGATTATCTAGCCATTGAATCTACCAACAGTGATAGTATAAAGTTAGAACCATCTGTCTAAACAGTCCTCTGACTTTGAAGAGTGTTGCAAAGAAAATAGCTCATGCTGGGAACATGGGCGTAGTCTGTGAAACTCAAAGCATGGAAGCTACACCCCCCACAGGGGATTGAGCAAACAGCCAAACTCCTCGGGCTTAATAGAAACCTCTCTGCATGTTTTTTTTTCGTTTATTTTTTACCTTTTTGACCAGTTATCTTAGATAAATATTTAGAACAAATGTTAGAACATGACAAAAAGCAGCTCTAAACTCTTAAGCATCAATTCAGTGGTCAATGGCGATCTAACAGTATGAGTATGTTTTTTGTGTCAGGAGAGAACAGTACATCATTTATAAATGGGATCAAAGGAGTTATTGTGATGGAGGCAGGCTGAACAAGTAATACAGTTTGGAAGCAACTGCTCTTCTTACATTTTTAACAGAAGGACAGTTGGATATTGCTATATAGTAATAATTTCATTACCCTGAGGTGAGTCCTGAAGATACAGATGTGTTTCTTATTTTGTGGGTGGACACCAGAAGTACTGCAAGTTTTTTTGTAAGACTGGGATCTATGAGAATAGTCAGTTGTCATCATGTTCTCAGTCACACAGTCCTCTGTCGTGGCACAGTCTCTATGACACCGTACATCTACATTGGGCACAATGACATGTTACAGTGGCTCTAAGTGCCTTCCTGTGTCCCTTTATTTTGCACTTCACTCTGCATGCTCTGTACTGACACTGTTTTTCTATTTTACTGACCCCCTGCCTTCAGACTACATCATCGTGACGTTTTCATGAAGCAAATCATGTGCTGTTAGCCGCAGGCTTTTAATTCAGGTGTGGCACCTTGACTCTCTCACTAAAGCTTAAGCTGGTTTCCCCATTCTTAATCTGCCCAAGTTCACTGCAAGCCTGGGCACTCCTAGTATTTACAGGACAGAAATGTGGAATGAAAACTGAAAGTGACCTGAAAAATAGCAGAATGCATGTGATGACTGACGGTTTCATTCATGTTTATAAAAAAGCCATTTGTTAGCCTGATCACAAACCATAATATCTGCAGCCCTCCTGCTTTATCACTTCAACACTTGAACATCAGAATGAAAATTAGAACATTAGAATGAAATAATTCAGGAGTTTGCCTGCTTCTCCTATTTGTGCAGGTTTCCTCACACAGACCAGTAGACATACAAAGTCTCTATTGTAGAACTGGCATGTCATCCAGACTTATGCCCTGTGCGGTCTGGGACTTACATTACACTGCACTACCTAAAATGGGCAATAAAACATGACCTTAATCTTGGGGTTCTGAGATTAGCCCAGACACCATTGTGATTGATCACCGAGCCACAGGTTTGAAGCAGTTATATTTGTCATAAATCATCTGTCTCTTCAAGATATTTATAAAAAATAATTTCTTTTGGTTTTAATTCTGATAATGCACAGCTTGCCATGTAAACTGCATGAATGGGAGGTTTAACTGTTCTATATGATTTCATGTTATCAATCATTTAAAAAAAATGTTTTATCAATCATTTATTGGCCCAGGACTTCATTGCTAAAAAGTGAAAAGTCTGACCTCTTAGCTTTTACAGGTTTTTAAACCTGTTTTAAAATTCTTGTTCTTTATGGACATAGATACGTAGATAGATAGATAGATAGATAGATAGATAGATAGATAGATAGATATAGTTTTAAGATTCTTCTAATTATTATTATTATTATAACCATGCATCTAATAAATGGCCATAATTTGTCAACCTGAACAATTTGATGTAAGATTAAGTTACTTCTAAATACAAACATTTTTATGTTTTGTTGTTCTGCAGTGTCTTGTAAGATGCTGGATTCTGATATCCTCTGGAAAACCATTTTCTAAAAAGGAGAATTAGTACAGATAAATAGCACATAAAAAACCATAAGACCTTGAAAAACACCCAGCAAACATACCCTCCGTATAGGCATTACTAAAAATCATAAAAGCAGCCTATATCTGCCCTACAAAAAAATACATAAAAGTATACATAAAATATATTACTAAGTAGTCAACTCATGAGCTGCTGCACTGTGACAAGGCGTAAATAAGTGCGCCCCATGTTCCATCTGAAAGTAATAGTTTCCAAATAAGCATACCCAAAGCCAGCCCATGGGAGGTTCATTCAGATTTACATGATAATGTTCATCCTGCCTCGTTCCTAGCTATCTGGCGATCAGTAGCTTCAGTTTCTCTTTACAGAAGAAGATGGAGTTCGTGTTGCTCATCGCCCTGTTTGTCCCAGCTCTGCTGGCAGCTCCCGAAGGAGAGAAAGCCTACAATAAACTCAGCAAGCCGTACCGAGACGGAGTCGACCTCGCTGTTCAGCAAGTTAACTCCCACTCGAAAATCCAGCAGTATTTTTTCTTTTTTAAAAGCATGGCTAAGACCGAAAGTGAGGTACTGTACTGGCGACTTACTATATCACAGAAGTGAAATATACAAACTTGAACTAATGAGTTCATAAAGGTGATCAGTATAATTACACATTTCACGTAAATGTGCATATTATGCCGTAATTTATCGGATTGACAGACTGTAGACTTGACCTGGGAGGTCGAACATTGTTATATTAGAATAAAATTCTAGAAGTATCTACATAATCGACGGCAACGTGGATTTTTTTTAAAGATTTATGTAGGTTAGTACTGAGTCATTTAACGCGTCTCTTCGTTTTTGTTTTGCCAAATGTCGCATAACGTCGAATAAGGGATCTGCCACTAGGGGCAAAAACTACTGCGACTACTGAATCACACGAAAAATGTGACCAACATCAAACTGAAAGGCGCAGTCTGAAAGCTGTTTGGATTTCGCTGCGTAAATGGACGGATTCAGTAACGCTAACCTTAAACGTAGTCTAAGTCGAAGGAAGCATTTGACTGTGATGTCATCAGTGTTAGTATTGGGCATTTCAGGTCCGGAAACTACAAATCCAGAGCAAGAAATTCCTAACCAACCAGTTCAATACTCTGTGACTATGACTCTTTATGCTTACCTGGTTTGTAGAAACAAAATCTTGGTCTCGATTTTGCAGTTCCCCAACACTTGATTTTGTTCACATTTTAAGCTATTTTATGTACATAGACCTAATGTTAGCTGTCAATGTAAGTCATTTGACATTTTAATTTCACACAAATATTTTGTTGTTGTTTTCTTCTAACATATCACTATGATATAATTCTCTGAAAATGTATGCAGATCACGTGGATGTTGGGATCATAAGCGGTTAACTTAGAAAGGCCTACCTGCCACCTGTTGGTTGCCATTCCCATTCTGAAGGTGGTTACATAAGTAAAAATGTGTTATATCATTGTGTCTTCATCATTTTCCTTACTGGATGCAATAGTAGGCTAATGTTACAAATTTAACCTTTGACGGTATGTTGCACACAATGGGCTTAGGCTATTATGAAATGATGGGCTTGGTCTGTAGTATAATTTTATAATTAATACTAGAATTTCATAGAATGATAAATCTGTTATACAAATTCAAACACCTTTAAAAAGGAGTTTTCCAGCTCTAAGGTAAAGTTAGAAACTTGTCTATTGAACTGGTAAATTAATACTACAAACTGCATTTTGATCATCAACAGTACATTGCAGTGTCTGTGGAGATGGCCAGTTTAACCTAAAATTTTATGCCATCATCACAGCATCTGGCCATAGAATTAAATATGGCTGGTAATTATCAAAATGTAATAGGCCTACATTTAAGATTTAACATTTTTATTATATTTTATTCAAAATTTTCAGTTTGCTTCCAGTTGTTGTTTTATTTAATTAATGTTTTTAATGTCTTTTTGTTAGTGTGCACCTTATCTCTACATTGTGCTGGTACAAATTCAGTTGCCACCATGTTTCGAGTGACTCGATTGTGCACCTTCGCCTAACCACAGACCCCATCTGCTCTTTCAGTCCGGGTTTGGTGTGAACTACATTTACCACAACTTCTACCTTAAACCCACCACGTGCACAAAGTCAACCCAGAATGCCAGTCCAAAGAACTGTCCCTTCAGAAATGATAGGGTGAGTACTTGTGGTAGATGTCATCAGTACCCATGCAATTTTATTTATATAACTAAGTGCTGAAACATGAAATTAATTGCTGAAAAAGTTCTTCCTTGTTCCCTTGGAATAGCCCATGATAGACTGTGCTGTTTGCTACAGAACTGTTCTTGGAGTCATCGACAATGACCCCAATCCATATATACATTGTATCCACAAACCGTCACTGTCCAAGGTAATTATTTAAATTCCATTTATGAAAGATAGACTCACAAATACATGCTGAATGGACCTAGATGTTTCCAGTTTTAACTCATTAGTTCATAAGTCTGACTTCTGTTCCAGTTGAAAGATAAGTGTATACTGTTTAAACCATTGATACTTTTTAGTCAGAGTCAACTTTATTCACCATCTACAGCCCAAGTACAAGGAATTAGTTTTGGGGTGATTGGTCACGTTAAAGTAAAATAAGTAAAAC